GAGAGAAAACACAACATACGTACGAGGGGGTGATGGCACTTCCATGTCCTATTTCACCTCGCAGCTCCACACCTCTAGCAAACAGCTGCTAAACACTGGGCTTGCCCAAGTATTAGCCAGGCTAAAAAAAAACTGCTTCGCTTCTGAGATCCTAAGAGGGTAAGTGTATTCATGGCAAAACATCCAAATGCCAGACCCTCTTGTGTAAGGTGTCTTTAGACTCAGTAAGGCCTTTGTGGGTAAAATCACTGCCATTATTGTGATTGTGATTTCGATTTAAAAAAAATTACACTCACAAATGTAATAAATTATGTTACCAACTGCCAATTGTTTATAACAGACTTGACCACAACTGAAGTAGCTTTGTATCGACGGATAAGCCCGGCATTTATATAAATCAGCGGGCCGACTTACGTAAGAGAGCGCGCGCGCGCGCGCAACCTTTCCTTCCTATCAATGGGAGCGCGGTGATAGCGGATGTTTCGAATACCGCACGGTGCACAGCCGCGATCTCCTCATGGGTGTAAATCACGAGCGGTGTCCTCGATTAAAACTAACAAGGACGAATGCGGTTTTTTTTTGGGGTGGGGGCGATCGGGTGGGTTGCATTCCGCGCAAGCGCACACGTCCGTCCACCGGTTCCGTTATCAAACTCGGCATGAGTAACGGGGGGGGGGGGGGGGGGCCCGGAGGCCAAGCCGCAGGCCGAAGGAATCCCCGCGCTCGCGCTAAGTCATCCATCCCGCGCGTGAGTAATGCGCTCTATCCGCCCCATGGCAAGGATCTTCCTCCGACTCTCTGCGTCTGGATTGTGTCACCCACGGCGGCACAGGAGAGTACGGCACCCACGCCGACAGGCAGCTCGATCCGTCGACCCCCCCCCCCCTTCCTCCTCACCCTTCGTCCGTCCCTCTCTGTCCGTCTCTCCATCAGTCCTCCCATCGGTCCACAACGGTAAATGCCAATGACGCAATGCGTCCCTCAGCGCAATGAGGGTATAGGTGACGCGTAATGAGAATAACTCCAAGGCAAGTATTTGTTTTTGTATATATGTTCACAAGGTTTCAACGGCCGACACATTTAAAACCGATTGACGCAATGCATTCAACGCGTTTTTTCTCGACCCCCCCTCCCTACCCACGCAGGGTTAATTTTGATCACCAGATGCTTCGTGGCCAAGTGCGCCCTCGCGGCTAAGCTCGCGGAGGGCGGACAGTGGCAGCACTGTCACATTGGCACAACACGCGGGGGTGGAGGGGGGGAGTGTGGGGGGGGGGAGTGTGGGGGGGGGGAGTGTGGGGGGGGGGGGAGTGTGGGGGGGGAGTGTGGGGGGGGGCGGGTTGCGACGGTCGGTCGGGCAGCTGTGTACCGTCAGCACTGACAGGGCCGCTCACATCGCGATCGTAAAACTCCCCCGAGCGGCAAGACGTGGCACCTGCGAGGCCGCCGCCAAGGAGGAGGCAGGCAGCCAGGCAGGAATGAAGGAAGGAGGGAGGGAGGGAGGGAGGAGGGGAGACCTGGCAGGCCCCTGTCCCTGCGGAGGGATTCTGGAGCGAGTCTCGTCTCAACGGGGTCATCCGCCAGGTGCGCGTCGCCAACCGCCAGGCCTCCCCCCCGAGTCCGGACAGTTGGGAGAGGCCCGGGTTGGTGGATCAGGCAAAGATGAAGCCACCGTAAGCACGAAGCAACAAAAAGACAGATTTTCCCCCCTCCCCGTATAGCCTACAGAGGCTGTTGGGGAATTTTCTGTTAGCGAGCAGCTATGAAGGCCGACACAGCGCACGAGCGGGTGGGTGGCCAGCACCATGCCCGTCCGCATTTATCTCCCGAGTGGCAACGTTTACGCACCGCACCAGATACTCAAAGGCCAGGACCAGTTTCAGATGTCACTCGTCAATAATCACCAACGGCCATGCCCCACCACTCGACGCACGAGGCACCCATCTGCTGGTCCTGCAGGAGCCAGTGCGGCGAAGAGGTTGCTGCTCGACCTATCGTCTCGCTTGCGTAGGTCTTCTCTGGGAATCGCGGTCACTTCCCACATGCTGAGATGCTCCACGAGCTGAACACGTATCAATAATGAAGACCCCCCCCCCCACCCCCAGGAGAGCGATTCTTCACTGGGTTACCGAGGTCTCAGCGAGGCTTTCCAGGCTCACAAAGGAAATCCTTCTCATGAAACAAAGACCACTGCGATACTACGCAGACTAACCACGTTCAGCTGGATCTGTGTGTGTGTGCGCATTTGTAGCTTAATGGAATATGAGAACAGACAATAAAATAAAACGTGAAAAACAGAATACTTTCATGAATGTAAGTATGAATGTCGAATTTCTTTCGCACCGTTCTTAGCCAACTGTGCAAATCGGAGCTGCGGGGGAAGGTCAACAAACCAAACACAGAAATAAGTTCTAAAGAATTGAGTTTTCAATCTAGATTTAAAAGTGCATCGCTCCCCATTGTCTTCCTAATATCGGAACAGCATTCCAGATGACACATTTAAGTGCGTTATTGAAATGAGACATTGCTCGAAACGTCGCACTGTTATATATTTTGCCGTCTAAGGCCACGCAGTGTTGTCGACAAATGCGTAGCCTTTTATTGTTTGACAATTGTGCTTGTGCACCACTGCCAACGCAGCAGCGGCATCACCGCATAATCTGTAATAACAAATGTACTTATTCGCCCCATTAAAGTAAATATTTTACAGCACTGCAGCTCCATCGCAGCTCTCTGTAGCGGCGTGTTTGTATTGACCGATTTCGAATCGTCAATCAGGCCCCCACGTCCCGGGCCAAGCACCACACATGGTCAGTGTTAATGACTGCCGAACAATCCCCAACTTGTTTGGGAGAGTTGTGTGCTCGGCACTTTCGATTTTCAGTGGAAACGGCCACGCGGTCGGGTTAAAATTTCACACACAAAACTAACTGTGTGGGGCCCCGTGACAACCGGTGGTAGGCTTCATGCGTTTTCCATCTGCTGCAGGATCACACTCCATGGAGGCGAACTTCTTGGTTCACTGACGATCATATATATATGTGTGTAAGTGTTTACAATGAGACAAAGCAATGGTAGAACTGCAGCCTTAATCTTGCCCAATGGAAGTGCAAACCAATCGGCCTCTGGGCTGTAATTTTTTGCGTTTGTACGGGAGGTCACACCGCTATAAAAAGGGACCATGACCGGTGGTCTGCACTAAACAACGGAGTGACGGCCAAAGGAGAGAACACGTCCGGAAGCACGTCCACCCCGGAAGACTGGAGCGGCAAAATCGGCTCGCAACGCCAGAGCCCCAGGAAACCACAAGCAACGGCGGAAACGGCCTTGGGGGGGGGGATGGAGGCCTTCCATCCAGCGTTGGATAGGATCGTGGCCGACGTGGCGTCGGGAAAAACAACAGGAACGCGTTTCAAGCCCTCCGCATGACGTTCGGTCGTTTGGGCTGCGCTTGCTTGAGCGGCCGCAATTCTCGCCAGCCAAGCTGTGGCGGCAGCAGCACCAGCAGGTGCGACCGTTTTGCTTGAGCATCCGATACGCGGCTGCCCGAACGAAGTTTCGCAAGCGCCATGTGTGCTGCGTGTAGCAATCGGCCTCACACAGGCTACGGGGTAACTGGGCACGCACCGGCTCACCCCTCGCTACGATTCAACTCGTGCTCAAGGTTCGAAGGTCCTTATACGATTCGGAGGGTTGAATTTTTTTCCAGTATAATTTGTGCCTTTTCGTTTAGATTGTTTCTCAATTGTTGCTGTTTTTCCGTCTCGTATGCACAGTGTTTGTAAAAATTAAACCCAAGGGCAACATTGGCGTTTCACTCCCGTATTATTTGCATCACTTGTAACATAACATCCATTTGAACGTCCACGATAACACGCAAATATCCCGAGCGTCGACATCGATGCTCGTTATACGGCCAAGTCTCCCAGTGTTTCCTGCGGCTCACTAAAACAACGTCCATGCAATGGCCTCAACTCAACGACAGCGCCGTGTCTCTAAGGTGGTTGGGGGGCATGAGCAAGCGGTCGTATTGACGGAGAAGTAAAACGTGAAACGGACATTCACGAACGGTTCCGCGTTCGGCGTACGTCGTCATCGGCCAGTGTCTATCCACTGCCGGGTGAAGGCCACGTGCCGCAGCCAACCCTCGCGGTTCCAGCGAGGTCTTAAAATATCGCGCAGCAATGGTTTGCAAGCTCGTAACCTATAACAGTGGAACTGTAGTTAATGCCAATTGGCGCACAGTGACTGACCGTACGAGGGCCGCGAAACGGTCGCCTTTAACTCCCCAGCGCTTACTTTTACGCACTGTAGAAGGAACTCGTTAAAGGCAGAGTCGAAATGGGGATAGGCGCGGAAACTGGTTCAGGTATCATCGTGCGCGACCGATGTTAGCCGTGGCCGGCAATCAAAACTCAGGTCGACGGGTATTCCGAGCAGTGTCCTAAACGGTCGTCATTGGTCTGACGACGTTGGAACGATGGACACGAAAACGATGAAGGCCCCTTTGTCAAGCCACTGCTCGGTGAAGGCCCTGCCCATGCTCTACCGGTCGTGAGGGTTATCTACTTCGCCGTGCTGGCACAGTGCGGGTTGGTAAAGCGGCGGCCCGGCACCTGCTCAGTTCAGAGACCGCTGAACTCGGGCCGCTGGGTTCAAAGGGCAGTTCGCTAACCCGCTGCAACGCTGATCCTCCGCGGTTCATTGTTATCGCGAAATTGTAAAGTACAGAAAATAGGATCTTTCATTTATAAAATAAATTGTTAGGAAGTGAATAACATGAGGAAGCAATCGGCAAATCTTGTGAGATTTTTTTTTCCCCCTTCACCGTAAAAATGCTTTTCCTGCGAGCGGTAACGCCGGCGCAAACCCCGCTACCCCCGGTCATAACACACGCAATAATGCGGGGCAGTCACGTCAGGTGTGATGTTACATCCTGAAAGAAATGCGGTAATAAATGAAGCAGTGTGGATGAAATGGATGAGATGTAACATACTCACAATGGGGGTCCCAAACGGTACGTAACCTGAGGAGAGAAGAAATTTGCTCGTTATATTTTAATCACAGAGCACATAGTCCTCACATTAACAGCCAGACACCGGGCAGAAGGGAAACATTAAGTCATGAATTAGGCTGGCATTACTCTTAAATTACTTTCTCTTTCGTGGCAATTTCATAATGAACGGACTGGACTCGGAGTTTCCTACCCTAATCTCGCTCGCTGGTGGCCTGATATTTTTAAATCAGTTCAACGAAACTGAGATGCCTTTTCCTATGCCGTGCTTTTGGTTTTAATTATAATCTCTTAAACATGATTCATTCGACTGTTATTACACTGCCCGGCGATGGCTAATTATTTCATTTTAACGCAATTTTCAAGTCAATAGGAATATACAGCAACACAATTACCGCCGTGAAGGTCACGGACGATAGGATTACGCTTTTCCATGAAATGGGAGCCGTGGCTTCAGCGGTACCACATGCACGCGGTTATGAATACAGTGGTAAATAGAAACAAGAGCTTGTGTTGCATCAAGTTATATTAGGGTAATTTCAGACAAAACAGTTCCCTGTTTGAGTGCGGAATTGCCTGGCCTTATTTTCGCGTGTTCTTCATTGCTAAAATAGAAGCACCCCCCCCCAGCCTGAACGCACAGCCGCCCACCCGCCCACCCGCCCGCCCACCCAGCCATGCCACCCCATTAGGCTAACTGATTAGGACACAAGGGCTGTGACCCACAAATTGCACGCCACTGTAATAACGAGATTCCTCATTTCTCTTTTCCGCCAGCAAGCTTCTATGACTTTATTTACCCACAAGTGACCCTAAATTTGTTTAACGAAATAAACAATGTCTCCTTCCAATATTTGTCTCTGTAAACCGTTGTTTTTTTTTGTTACACAAACCATCTGCCACACGGCCTACTGGGAGTAAATCGTATCAGCAGTATTGGTTCATGACAAGCAAACGCTGGACCGGTTCCAACACGTCCCTGTCTTATTTGCGGTCAGGCTTGCTGGAGAATAAATGCTGGTGAACTTGCACACGGTGTTTCTTGGCAAAGACCCTCCCCAGTAATAAACGCGTCATCGCTCATCAAAAAAAAAATACGATATAAGAAAACACGACACAAAATAATAATTACAATTTGTATAAAATATTAAAAAGGCCACACACATTAAGGCACCGTATAATAATTATTATAATAATGTGTTCAAGACTGCATTTATGAAATGCGTGGTAATTACATTTCTCTAAAATACTATTTTTATCCCAGGTTACGTAATATTGGAAAATATGCCGTTGGAATTATTAGCCAAAATCAACAAAATGTAACTTCTTTAATCAGGTTCCCAGTGTTTTTGTTGATTTTGTAAAGGTTGTTAACCACTTTATAATCAATAATGGCAATGTTAGAAAAGCAACAGTAAAAAAAAAACTGCTGCAAGGACTGAAAGCCAGATACTACACTCATAAAAACCACCTGGGCATCTCAGATGAGAAGAATGAGAATGAAGACTTTGGTTTTGGATGGTTGTGGATTCTGTTACGAGTTTACGATTTGGTCCAATTTATATACAACTTGACGGGCAAGGCTTGTTTCGTGTAAAATAAATGTTTTTTGGCTCTTGTTAGTTTTCACGTTCCCTCCCAGCAATGTCCTGTAACTGTGATGTCCCGTTAACTGCAATGTCCCGTTAACTGCAAAGTCCTGTAACTGTCAGCACTGCCGACAGTCTTGAGCTCTGGTCGTCCTTGTAACAGAGCTGCTTCACTGCTCACTGGTGCCTCACCAGCTGGAATAATAAAGTCTAAGTCCAAGGCCTCAAACGGAAAGGAAATGTGTTCAGCTCTACACTACCTTGATTCAAGCTAAGTTACAATCATTTAAAAAAAAATAAACATCACTGCTTACCTTGAACTTACAGTAATTTTAATTTGTATACAGAATTAGTCACGCTGCCGTGGGAATATAGCTTTTCTTTTTTCAACCATAAAACATGCGGAATTAACGTTTATTTACAGGGCAGTATTTGGTTTTGCATTTGCTGGCCAATTCGCTCAAAACAACTCTTGAATTGCCGTTATTTGTCCATTAATTTGGGCCACAAACAACAAAGCAAGAGTACTTAATAAACACACACACACCAGACACTGTCATTCGCATGCCTGTCAACGCCTTATCAGTGCCTATCTTATTACAGACCAATTCAGACATTGTTGGTCAACCCGTACCCTTGTACATCTCAACGTTCATCCTGCAAAGTCCCATCATAAGGGAGAAACACAAATAGACATTTTTTCGCCCGTATTGAAACGGCTGTACGCCATATGGACCTGAAAACTCAATTTCACTGTACAAGAATACGGGTAAACCGTATGGGTTGACAGGTATACATTCGCCTTAATAAGAACTTCGCTCTATGTCAACAAATTACTTTTGAGTGAATGGCTGTGAACGTAATAAACATCTAACACATCTTGCAACACCACTCTCTCCAGCAGTGCCAGCAGCGCTAGCACATGTGCTTAATAAATGTGATAAACAATATCGAATCATTGCCGGGGCTCAATCGGCCTCCTGTTTTATGGGCTGAAACAGCTGCTTTCAGAGGCCCCGTCGAGCATTTTCGCTGCCGAGTCATGTGATTCCAATGAAAAATCATCTCGGATTTGAAGTCGGAAAAGTGCGTTCAGGACAAATTTTGCAACGTTTTGCAGCTGCCAACCAATGGAACGCATTTTATTTACTGCCATGAACGGCTGAAAAATAGGAGCGGCACTGTTGAAGGACATCAGCTATCGTTTAGACTGACATAGCCCATGGGAATGTCTTTATTATTTTGAATTTTTGGCCATTGCAAATTTCCACGTGATTAGCCACTTCGTTGAGCTATCATTTGTGGCCAGGTCGCTTCTGAAAAATAAGCTAACAGCTTAGTGGGCCTTCTCTGGGAAAATAAAAACAAATATTCGTTTCATGATTTGCTTACCTTTCTTATACTTTGCACTCTCATCGTGTTTCGTATCATTTGTTGTTTTCATTATCTCACCCACCGCTACTGGACATCTGTGAAAAATTGCTTAATAGCTCATCGGATTCCTCCAGGACACAGGAGGCTAGACAACAAGAGGCCAGAAAAGAGGAGGCCAGGCACAGGAGAGGCTGGCTAGAGGAGGCAGAACAGAGAAGGCCAGGACACAGGAGGCAGAACAGAGAAGGCCAGGACACAGGAGGCAAGGCACAGGAGGCCAGCGTAACGGTTTACGCCGACGCAGAGGAGCATGGGCTGTCAAGGCGCCCGGCGCATTCAGACTGCGAGTTGAAAGCATGGCGCAGCTTGGGCTAGACGTGGAGGCAGAGGTCGCTAGGCCTTGCGAGTGGTAGCAAGCAAGGCGACAAGATCGGTGTCTAGACTTAGGACACCACGAAGGAGGGCCAAGGATTATCCACAAGGACGGGCAATTACACGGTCCTTGAAATCATTAATACATTTGGTATTTTGTGTCGTTATCTATAGCAAAGGGGCTATTACGAAACCGCTATGTTTTAGACAATTATGGTCTACAGCAGTTTCACAGCAAGGAGTGATGTTGCCTCATGGCTTCAGCCAATTAGTATATTTTTCCAATTTGGGTTCATATCATCGCAAGGGTCATTAGGCTAGTTATGATGATCATTTGGCAAATCACTCCCTCCCTTGGCCATGATTCGCTGTGTATAATACTTAAAATTGCAAACGAGTGGTATCTTGAGAATAAAAAAAAATTGTGGTGGACGACCATTTTTCATCGAATATATCTGGAGCATTATGTAGAACGATTGAAATCATCGCAGCACCACAAAATCACCACTTATATGGCAGGGACACGTCGCGAGGAGACGTGACGGGCCAGCGTTCACACCCAAGAGGATGAACAGGGCGAAGAGGTGCAAAAGCCAGACTTGTTGCATCGCGTGACTTTTGGACGTGGTGACAGCTTGGGGAGGGAGGCCTTCATCGAGCAGTGGATAGATCATGGCTGATGACGAAGCAGTGGGTGTATGAATACTAAGAGGTTCATAGGCCTGGGAAAAGGCCTCTCACATGCCGGTCCATGAAAACGATCGGCACAGGGGTATTACGGAGATATAGATATATATTCCAAAATAAAAACCCTTGCAAGGCCTTTAAATTACAGCTCTTGCCACTTTAAACATCCACAAAAGTTACCCTTGGATTTAACGACTGTTATGGTGTTATTTTAGCAGATCTGGCGCGAACAAGGTAGACGTTAGGCACCCCAGGTGGTGTGAAATTCACGCCACATGTCTTGACGCAAACGTGTTTCGGCCATGTCTGCTGTGGGCCTGCTTCTCCTTGCCTTATTACTGGCAAAGCTTGGGGTGTGTAAGAAATAATAATAATACCTTCCCCTGTCTCTGTGTAAACACAGGATGTTAAACATCGTTGGTACAGAAAGCATTAAATATCAACATATAATTAAGGGGGAGGAGAGTGCATAGTAAGTAAAATCTCAGGCTCATGGAAAAGGTTTTTGTCTGGTTTTTTTTAATAAGTTATACTTAAGTACTTCTCATTTGCAGGTTAACGCATCAATCAATACTGTTCTAAAGAAGAAACAGTGTCCATTAGGCAATGTTTTGGGCAATGGCTCTTCTTCATAGAAGAGAGACAGGGCAGCGGTGAGAGACATAGTGAGTCAATAGATCGCAACCGCGGTGCCCGATAGAAAATATTATTTTTAATACATCACGTGTATGTCGTGTGCCACTGCGGCCGGTTCACAAGAATGGGGGTGGAGAAACTCCACCCACGAATACCGCGGAGGAAACGCAGAGGCAGAGGCAGGTGGCGCACGGCTGACACGGGTAGGCGGTGTTGACGGATTGGTTGTACGACTGGGGATTAGTCACCGCGATGTGTGCGGGGCGGTCAATGTGCCAGCACAAGGGCACCTGTGCAGCATCGCCAAAGGAGAAAAAAAAATCGAAATGCTCGGGGCAGCAAAGTGCGGCACTTTACCGTGGTCAGCACGACCCGGTGCGCTGGTATCCAGAAAGCCGATTTGCGGACGCTGCTTGTGCCTGCACCTGTGCGGCCCATTGTCCACTGCTGGATGAGGGCCTCACCGGGTCATGTGGATTTTGTGGGCCGTAATCGTTATGGTTGTGAGCTCAGCTCGGTTTGGTGAAGGTGGTGAACATATCCGCATGGAAGTGCAGTACAACGGTGGATTTTTTGCTGCAGTGCCCTCTGCCGTCTATCACGTTGCCTTCAGAGCCTGTAAGACCTGTTTTGCATGGCAGTGGCCCATCCAGGCACTATCCAGGCTCAAGTTTGCTTAGCTTCCGAAATCTGATGAGATCAGTAGCATTGCGGGTGATATTGTGACAGGTGGATGATGCGTATTAACTTTGTATTACGTTCCCATTTATCCATCTCAAGTCACCTTTGCGTTGAAATTTTTCTAAAATCAATAATCTCTGCAAATGCGTTTTGTTTGAGAAAATTCAACGTTATTTTTAACGCTGTATAATTCACGTATGATTTATTAACTATTTTAAGAGGTGACTACGTGGCTCAGAGGTCAGAGCGCTGAGCACCGCTGCGTTGCTGGGTTCGACTGCAGGCAGCCACCCGTGACTAAACCGTGTTGTCACAAATAACTGCATGACCAAAAACTCTAACGTAAAATGTGTTTCTGCGCGTAAAATACAAGCTCTGTCAATTAACGATCGGGTTGCCCGTCACGAGACGAGCATGACTCACTACTGTATGGCCAGAGGCCACTTGAAGCGATCTCAGAGCAAGCTCTGTGATATCCGCTTCCGCGCAGGCCATTCTCCGTGAGATGCATGCAAACGGATATTTTTGGCATCACGACGCGAAAATGACAACTGCAGAAAACGGAAAACAAAACACCGCATTCAGATTTGTGTGCGCTTATGAAGACGATCAGGAGGGTAGCGATGGCGTGGTGAGGGGAGGGGCAGTGGAGAGGGGGGTGGTGGGGAGGGGGGGGCGGTGGTTCACCCTCTCGGAAACGCCACACATTCGCTCGGCCGCATGCTCGGACCTGTCCCGCAAATTTCGCCGGTAATTATCCCACACGGAATCCCCCATGCGATGGCGGCAACACCGCACCCTCGGCCCGGCCTGAGCAGCCGGCTGACGAGCGGTGGCCACCGCCCACACGTGGATCTTGCCTCCGAGCATGTCGCTAAAATGCGGCGCGCGTCACGGTGGAGAAGTGGCGGTGGGGGGGGAAAGAGGGGAAACCCCCCCCCCCCACACACACTTTCCGCCATTACCGAGTCGAGCATTATTCCCAAGAACATGTGCGCACGGGCAATAAATTACCGGAGTGTGTTACTGCGAGCTCCCTTTCTTTTGCGCCGGGCAATGTAATGTGGGGGTAATGTAACGACATCGCTTAATTCGGAGGGACTTTCCTTCTTTGCACTCCTGGACGTGTTGAAATATGGAACGCCAATTACGTTCAAGGGTGTTTGCCCGAGAGCGATAATGATCAATTAACCCTTCCCAAGGGTTATTTATTGAGCTGTGCATTATCTTCAAGAGGGGCCGGCGCTGCTGCTGAAGGCAAGGAGCCGGCGACGGGCGGGATATTTATCGCTCTTCACGTCAAAGACGCCACCTTCCCCCCCCCACTCCCGTTCAACAAGACAAACGCCACGGCGTCCTTAACCCCCGGTATGAGCGCAGGCAAAAGGGGGGCACTCACGGTGGCGAGATGGTAACTGCCTTGCCTGGTATACGGGAGGTCGTGGGTTCGATCGCGACTCCTGACGCTTGTATATTTGGAAGCTTGCGCGTTCTCCCCGTGGTTTGCTTGGATTTTTGTCCGGGACCTCCGGTTTTTCCCTCCACATTTAGAATCAACATCGCGCGTTTAGAGTATTTGGCTGCTATTCATTTCCACGTGCTAAGCCACTTCGTTGAGCTATCATTTGTGGGCAGGTTGTCATATAGCCTCAGTGGGCTTACCTTGTAAACCATTTTTTTTTTAAACAACGCCCACGCCAAAATTAAATTAATTAAGTAACAGGCAAACAAAGTCGCTGATGAATCTACAGACGCTTGGCTCATTAAAGCTGGGTTTTTTTTAAGGTCCTTTAAATATACATCCCATTGCGCTGAGAGGAAAGGGTGGAAAAAAAGCACCCGGGCTAGAGGTTGGGTATGAGTTTCATATTTCATGCCTGGCTTAATCTGATAGCAGGGCTCTCTCTCTCTCTGCCCAGCCATACGCGCAGTTGTAAAACTTTGCTGGATGCAGTCGATCACGTTATTGCGCCGTGATTCTCTTTTACACGCTCTTTCCAATTTTTTTTTCACTTCCTCCCTTCCCCACTTCTGCATTTAATTCCTTCTCTAACAGACGCCGCTACTCGTTAATTGCCACCAACGGCCACACCAGGTGAGCGGGCGAGGAGGGCCCACGAGGGTGGCGGTGCTGGGTGTTGATTCGTAGCGGTGGCGGTGGTGGGGTTGGTGGTGCCGTTGCAGGTGGGGGTGGCGGGCAGCGGTGGTGATGATGAGTGTGGTGACGGTGACGGTGGTGGTTGGAGTGGTGGTGATTGGTGTGCAGTGTGGGTGGCGACGGTGATGGTGGAGTTGTGGTGGTGGTCGGAGTGCCGGTGGCTGTGGTGGAGGCGGCGTGGAGTGGGAGGTGGAAGCAAGGAGGTGCAGCGACAAGCGGGAGAGGCAAGGCACGGAAGTCCGCATGGGGAGGGGGCAAAGGTGCTGTGGTGGAGGGAGAGAGCAGCCCAGCAACCCCTCGTTAACGAGCAAAATATTCGACACGGTGCGAAAAGACCGCGTCCGAGTGCGCCGAACGAAAGCCTCACCTGACATCCGGAACGGCATGAAAATCTTCTCGCCCGTGTCAGGGTGCAAAATGGCCTGCGAGAGAAACAGCCATTAAGAGCGTGCACAGACAGAGGGAGAGGAGAACGACCGGGGCCGAGTTAAAAAAAAAAATAAACATCGGAGCGAATTCTTCGCCTCAGCGGAATGGAGAGAGAGAGAGAGAGAAATGTTGCGCACCACGCACGATCGAAGAACGGCGTTGAGCAAGCAGACTGCTCGGCGTAGAGGACCTGGGGCACGGGCACTTCCCATTACCCGACGCCATGGGGCTCTTCACACACACAAATCAAATGCCGAAGTCCGAGCCGCACCTGCGATCGCGGTTTCCTGGCTTCTGCGGGCACTGTGCTCGGGGCGCAGGGCGCGTCGCCACTCACGACTCGGTTGTGCATTTGTCCCAGGCTCGGGAGATGGGTAATTGAATCTGTGGGAGCGAAGCGCCCTCGCGATACGCACATGGTCTGTTATCCCGGCTTCTCTGGTTTTTGTGCCACGCTGCGGTTTTCTCAAAGCCGAAAAGCTAACGACTGGAAATGGCCGAACATCCCAATGAAGCAGGACCCTCCTTACAACGAAACTATTATTGAGACTCAATGAGGCTTTGGCAGCGCAACGGGAATTATGACCGATGTATTATGCGACCCGGGGGGCCGTCACCAGCTAGAAAACTACACCCACGCAGCGACACATTTCGACGAGGTGCCGCTCCTTACACGTGCCATCAAATTAAACGGGGGTGGGGGGGGGGGAGGGGAATTACATTGCACGCATCCTACCGACCCCCCCCCCCCCCGCCGCCACCGTTTCACAATATAACACAACAAATCCAGGTAAGACACCAAAGAAAAGTATGGGGGGAGGGGAGAAAGAAAATCACCATCATCAGCGGCAATTTCATGTTTTCCTGCAAGAACCTACACTCGGGGAGTAGGACAGGAAGGCTGAAAGAGAGTGCAACAAGAGGGTAGAGAGAGAGGGAGGGAGAGCGCCAGTGATGGGGAGTGAGAGATGTGCAGCCAAGATAAAGGAAGCACGGTAATTAGCGCCATGCCACTTCTTTGCACAGCCTCCTGACGACGGGGGTTTCATGCAGTGAGCTCCGGGCGAGGCCAATTTGTACTCTGCCACGCTCTCGCTCTCCATCTCACCAGCTGTTGCCCAAATTAACCTTTCGAGGGCCACGACAGCCAGGAGCAGATTTGCGCTTAAGAGCCAACGAAGAACAGCCGATGGTGATTTGCAGCGTTTCACGCCGTCGCGGGGCCGTTAGGGTTTTAAACTGCGAACGTCATCCCGCGGAAGGAAAGTCGACCGAGGCAGAAGGGGACGGTGGCAGTGCAAATCGGGATTTTGTGCGCAAGAGCGCTTCAAAGGGCACGTCAAGCGGCCCGTAGAGAGCGGCAGAAAAGCCACTCGGGTCCGCGCCTTCACCGAAACCGTCACATGATGGGCCCTCCGCGCGACTTCGTAGACCCGCTCAGGCCCGGCTGCGCTAAGGCGGGGAAGCTTTCGGAAGAAGTCTGGGTTAAAACAGCAGTCGTTCAGGTGTATTTTTACGCGCCTTACAGGACTGCACGATTTCTCGCCGCTGGTAGACCGGAGTAGACGTGGCACGTGACTCGAGGAGCTAGAGCCTTAGCGAGAGGCACCACTGGACGTTGGCACCCCGGGTACGAAAATACTTTCCTGGGTCGCGGACCCGGCTGAGTCGTTGCCCATCTTGCAGTACAGCACAGCAATGCTACTTAATGGTGGCGGAATTGTTTTGACTTAATGTATGAGCAATCGCGGCTAGGTTGTGTGTTATTTCGGTTTCTCAAGGAGGTTGAAAATCACCGTGCTGAGGCTTAACATTGCTGGGAATGGGTAAGAAGCAGTTGGACTTGACAAAGCGCGGCTTTGATTATTGGTTCCACACTATGCTCCAACTGGCTCACAAAGGCAGCAGATTAGCATCGTTAGCTGTCCGTCAGAGCACTTTCGGGACAGAGGGGAGAACGGGGCCAACGTTTATGGATGAGTGTGTACGCCAGTGCACGTGTGTCTTCGTGTGTGCCTGTGTTTGTACGTGTGTCTGTACGTGTAGAGTGGTGGTGTAGCGGTTAGCACGCTGCGTTATGAACTCGATGACCCGATTTTGATTTCCGCTCATGGCCAACACCAGCGACAGTTGTCTGAACCGGTCCTGGGCCTCCCCTAGGTCGACTCAGCCTCAAATTAATATCTAGTGTGATGTATAAACATCCCCTCTGGGGAGACAAAGGAGGCCGGGCGTTGGAAGCACATGAATTCGAATCCCAGTCGGGGTCGATTCAGCCCATGATCCATCTCGGTTCAATAAAATAAATACAACTTTATGAGGAAATCAAGAGCAGTTATCTTTTATAAATACTCGCCAAAGAAATGTGGATTTCATACCACGCTAACAGCACTTGCACACAGCACTTGCCCCAACAGTCTGTACGTAAACGCGCATCTGCGCGTGTACTTATGACTGTGTGCATGCGCGCGAGGGTGTGCCTGTGTCCATGCGAATTCCCCGTGTGCGAGAATTTTCATGTGCGCGCGTGTGCATGTATGCATGCACGTGCCTAGAAGCTGCATGTGCTTTGCTTTGTGTGCTCGTGCGTGCGTCTGTGTGCGTGCGTGCGTACGTACGTGCGCGTGTGCGTGTCTGTGTCTGCGCGTGTGTGTGCCGGCTACCCTCGGCCACGAGAGAGCCTGTGCCCTCATCCTGACTCGTGTCCTGGGTCTCCACCAACATCTGGCTCATGATGAACATTCCAGGCCTAGTGGGGGTTTTCATAAAAAAACATTATAATTTCTTTCGTCTATTGACTGCAAACAGGCAGTAAAATGGGCCATGTACTAAAAAAGAAACTTTGATTCATCACTATCACTTGTTAGTGTTTTAATGGCATTGCTGAGCACAGCGCCGAATGCCAACAAAGGTAATCAAGATCTCGAAGCGCGAATTATATCACGGCAGAAATTAACTAAGACAATTTTTTTCTTTGATTCGGCGAGGTTATAGCAATTTTGGGGGAAAAGATCACGGATCGCAGAGCAGTCCTGAGGAAGGGAGCAAGAGAAATTAACTATCCTGCACCATAGCATGTGAACACTAGGCGTGTGACTGACGATGCATTGATTAATCAATTAACACCAAGTGTTCCAAACATATCGATTGGGAGCGCGTGCGTGCTTGCGTGAACGACTTATTGTTGACCTGTGTAAGATTTAAGTGCTTGCGCGTTGGTGGAAACCCTGCAGCAACCACTAGAGGCGCTAAATTCAACACAACATGTCGAATAGGATCACGCTTGCGAATGGTGCGCGGCGGAAATCATCTCGTGTCCAACGGACACAGGATGATGACACGGCAAAGTTAGCGAAACAAATCCCATCTAAAACCATGATTTTAAACTCTGCCACACAACCTCCGAGTTGACGTCCTCGTGGATATAGCAAAACGAGCACGCTCTGGAACTGTCGCTCATGGCACTGTTACAGACGCGCATTTTCCATGGCAACAAACATTCCTATCGTTCGTTACGAATGTTCCCGCTAAACAGCTTGGAAATGAAACTTCTTACGCATAAACTTCACATCTGCTTGTCAATCCACTGCTGGATGAAGGCTGCCACAAACGGTGCGCACACTCATGGGACAGCCGAAGTACAGTCAAAGATGCCCCGTGAATTTGTGTGAATGTGCCACCAAGAATGGTGAGCTGTGCCGGGTGCCACTCTGTAAGCCACAGTCACCTAAACTGTAATGTCACCCATTTTTGTCGCTGTAGATGGTAATTCATTTCGAAAACTGAAAAAAAAATTTTTTAGTAAACGTGCGTCTCTAAGAGCAAGTAGGCCTGCAATTAAATTATAAACTAAAATGAAACAATTTTTTATTTTACCAGGTAAGGCCCACTGAGCTATATAGCTCATTTCCAGAAGCAACCTAGCCACAAATGATAGCTCAACAAAGTGGCTTATCATGTAGAAATGTATAGCAGCTACATTCTCGAAAACGCAAGTTTCTAAATATGGAGGGAAAAACCGGAGGAGCCTAAGAAAAATCCACACGAGGGTTGGGATCGAACCCATAACATCTCCTACATAGCAGGCAAGTAAGTTAACATTTGCTCATCCATTCAGCACATTGAACGATGTGGGGGCTTTCTCTTAGCACCTTGCTTTCCTCCCAGATATGGAGATCACTTCGAAAATCTACCGGCCTAACATCGCAAACAGACACAATATATTAATTTCAAAATCACCACCGTCATCATAATCATCATCACCATTAGCATCATCGTACAAGAGATATAGCTGTATCACTTCCAACGATCGAACACTTGAATAACTACACACTGGCACAGCGCCACAACGGACAATTAGCACACCGCCCGTTTCCAAAATCTTAAGGTAAAAAGAGGACCAAAAAAAATGAAAGGGGGTGGTGTGTCTAAGAGGAAAGGGCTCTCTGGCAAACAAAGCCGATATCACGCACAATATCGCGACTCGAGTGGCCTGGACGTAAATCGCTTCGCCCTCGGATTAGAGCACAAAGGCTCAGTCTCCGCGGAGAGCCGATGACGAGTTGATTGCAACGCGCAAAAAATGTTAATGCGGCCGCCGCATTGCAGAGCGAGCGAGCGAGCGAGCGGGGCCCGGAGATGGCCGATCTCGGTGGATTATGCAAATGTTAAACCAACTGTGCGCGCACTCCGAGGGGCTTCCACGTCTGATCCCCGAGTGACTCTCTAATCGTCTCAAACGTCTCTGTTCGGGGGTCAGCGTACAGAGTAGGGCATTGTGGGCGAGGACAATGAAGTTCAGGTTCGGTCAGCCTCGTGCGTGCGTGCGGACGTTCTTGTGTTTTTGTTTCATCGCTTGGACGAGTTCAAATGGATTGCCCACCCCCCCCCCCCCCCCCCCCCCCAAAGTCCAGGTCTGGGAGGCTTTGTACCGAGCGCCGGGGAGCTGACGAACTCGGCGTGCGTTTGCGCTGGGAAGCCCGCACCGCCGCTACCGCTGCCGCCCCTGCGGGTTTGCGCTCACGGCTTTCACGGGGAGGGTCCGGATCGCACCGAGAACGTGGGTTACGTACCTGCTTGACTTTCTGCGCTTCCCAGAGCTGCAAAAACAGAAAACAAAACAACGATTTTGACTTGAAACTTTCGTGACTGCAGGAATTCATATTCTATCAGGACCGCTTGTGTTGCGATCGAAACGTCGTGATATTTTTAATCACTTTATTTTTTTTTATCTTTTTATCTACGTGACTTTACCGAAAGAATATAAAAACAACGATTGCTTTTATATGATTATCATTATTGCTAATATTCTTTATTTTATTCAATGTAACATTGACAGTCAAATATGTTTGGGTTTTTACAGCACTTTGTGACTCCACCGCTGTCAGTCATAATAATGCAAATTTCAACTTGTAACGCAACGCACAGCATTCACTCACTGTCGAAAACAGGCGACGACTCAGAGGCGCGAGGAACCAGACAGGCAGGAATGCAGCCTCGGCAGTGCCAACAATTTCCCAAGCTTCATGTTCTTCTGCATAGTAAGGTGCTATTGGCCAATTAAGGAGTGTTCACACGTGGGGGGGAAACCGGAGCACCGGGAGAAAACCCACGCATGCAAGGGGGAAACACTCTATCCCACAGACGGTACTGGTGGCGTCCACAATTTTGCTGTACTGAATTCTCCTGGCGAGACAGGGGATGACATCTCCTGGACGTGCACACAGAGAGGGAGCGTCACGTGATTTGTGCGATCCACCAATCCTCGCGTCTACAGTGCTGGATTAGAGGTGTGCGTAGCCACCACCGGCCGTCTCGTTACTTCACCACGCTGGTCAGTGGTGAATGAAGACTCAGTAATTATAGTAATTGATCTTCTTGGTTCTTTCGGTAAAGTCACGCAGAAGGGAAGCAACAAAACAACAAAAATAAAAATAATAAAATTATTATTATTTTATTATTATATTATTTTATATTATTTTATTTTATTATGTTTTATTTTTGTTGTTTTGTTGCTTCCCTTCTGCGTGACTTTACCGAAAGAACCACGAAGATGAATCCCTGCAGTCACGAAAGCTTTAAATCGAAAAATATAGTAATTGAGTTTTCATTCACCAACCACTAATAATTATTTTCAAAAGAGCCCAAGTGGTTTCCCACTGAACTGGACATAGGGTGGTGCTCATCTCCTCTTCACAGCCCTGAGCTCGTGGTATGAAATCCACATTTCTTCGGCGAGAGAGTATTTATAAAAGATAACCGCTCGTGATTTCCTCAAAGTTGGATTTATTTTATTGAACCGAGATGGAGCATGGGCTGAGTCGACCCCGACTGGGATTCGAACTCATGGGCTTCCAACCAAAAGCCGCCGAGCCACCAGGGGGCATATGGTAAAACAACTATTAAAATGAAAACCAGAGCGGTCTTGATTTGAGTATTTATCTTAACAATGCCATGACGTTTACATGCCACCCCATCATGCGACAAGACATGTCACTCTTACGTTAGGGGCGAAGTCAGACAAAATGTTAAATAAAGCCCTGTGGGTTATCATCGTCAAGTCCAGACTTGCACCTCTAAAATGTGTGCCAGGTCGCACTATATCCGTCACACAAAGGCCAGACCAATATCAATAATAATTAAATTAATATATTTACCAAGGAAAGTCTTCTTAAAATTACTGCAATTGTTGTCACTACTATTCATAATTATCGCTGATTAATAAATGACTTGCTGTTCTTGAAGCAATGCTTGTTGGAGTTCATTTTGAAAATAACATGAAATGCCAATTAATGACTCCAGTTATTTACAAAAGAAAGGCTCTCTCCGAGTCTCTGCACACTTTTTTCAGGAGGGCCCGCTTCATTCGGATGTTTGGTCAATTCCATCAATGAGTGTTTTGGCATCGAACAAGCACTCACATTGACCCCCCCCCCCCCCCCAGGCCTCAGCGTCGATGCCATCAAACCTTAACAAGCAACTCTCCTTCGCGACGCGGAGTCAAAGGGCAATGGGACTAGGTCGAAGGTCAACCGTCAGCTTCCGACACAAGTGGCCGTTACCAGAGTTTGAGCCTCTCCCACTGTCGAGATTGCTCACGTGTGTTCCAGAACAAAATCTACAAGCAAACGAAAAATTTTGATTCGACATTTTGGATTTAACGAAAATGCACACAGTATGTTTCCATCACCCAATGTAGAACCACGCAAACTGCTATGATGGCGAGATGTTAACTACCTCGCCTGGTATACAGCAGGTTGTAAGTTCGATGCCAACCCTGACGCCTGTACATTTGGAGTTTGCGTGTTCTCACCGTTGGAGCATGTATTTTTCTCCGCATTTAGAATCATCCATCATGCGTTTAGAGTATTTGGCTGCTATACATTTCCACGTGATGATAAGTCACTTCGTTGAGCTATCATTTGTGACCAGATCGCTTCTGAAAAATAACTATATAGCTCAGTCTGCCTTAACTGGTTAAATTTAAATAATAACATAGTTAGTTAAAATCAATGTATAGTCAGGATTTTACCCCGAGAATGATTTCCGTGAATCTCTAAACAAAGTCATCAATAAAATGTCAACCACTTAAACTATTCAATCCTCAGTTTTATATTAGATATATATACATGTTTTAAACTGCACTCGTATTTACCGGAATCGTGTTGGTAAGTAGGGATAATGATAATGAAATGCACGAATTAGTAAAGTACTATATTGGTAAATTAACTAATCAATTTAAGCGTCAATTACTGGCAAGATCCTGTAGGGAGGGAGAGAGATGTGTAAATTAAACCATTAAATTAGAGGGAGGGGGGGTAGCAATGAAGCGATGAATTGGATTTATTAGCATCCATTTACCTTACAGCCTTTTCCTTTTTCCTGGCCCATTTCCCAATTATGCAGCGCTACCAGCCGACAAGTCAATGTGGAAATATCAGGGAGAAAACAAAGACCAGTATCCCCCGGATAGCCAGAACAGCGAGTAGCAACCTATGAAGGCCGGCACGGCACACGAGGGGGGTGGGTGGTGGCCAACTCCACGCCCGGCCGCCTTTGTCTCCCCAGTGGCGATGTATACGCACCACACCAGGACACTCATTTAAGGCTGAGTCCACCTAGGAGAAGCCCACGACCGGTTCAGATAATCGTCACTGGTGTTGGCCGTGAGTGGGAATCGAACTCGGGTAGCCAGGTTTGTAGAGCAGCAGCGCGAACCACCACGCTACCGCTCCCCACACGCGCACACACACACACATATACACACACACACACGTGCACCTATGCACACACATGCCAAGTGGCCAGATTTGTGCTGCCATTTCATTGAAACCAAGTCAACTGAAAACCTGTCATGAAGGGCAACCTTCGAACAACACCGGTGAAAGCTGTGAGTTCGTTATTAATGCGATGGCTCGATATGTAAATTCATCACCTCAAACACCAATTGGGGGCTGGCTACCTTCATTGAATGGTCCCTACATCAATCACGAATTCAGCTAAATAAACGATTAAGAAGTGAGAAGGTATCTTTAAACAGAAATGTATTTTGAGAGAGAGTGTGTGTGTGTGTATAATGCAAACAATACACAAGTGAACGCCTCATTTACATACCAATTAAGCAGTCCACGGTGCAATTTCAAAGTATTGTGTTGAAAGGATGAACACAATTTGTTTATGACCCAATTAAGTGAATCAATGAAACTGCTAATTTAGCGTTAATTGGATCATAATTGTTGAAATATACCAGGTAGGTATTAATTATAAATTCATTTTTGAACGAACAGAAAATAACGGCTGTATTTAACGTACAGAAACACCACATAAGCAGGCTTGTGAATACTATTCCATTGACATCACCCTATTTATTTCCTAAACCGCAATTGTCATGTTTTCTCCTGTGAAGTCATATAATAATAACGTAATTGGATTATTTGAACAGGGACCCTCAGAATGTATCACCACATGCAACAGTAAAGTGACTCAGCGACTAATTGCAATGTAAACAATTGCATATTATGCGGGAACGCCAACCGTTAATTCACGCAAACCAACCAAACGCGCGCCTTTTGAAATATTTCACATGGCGCGCCAAAATACACACGCACATCAACGAACATCCGAGCAAGCAAAAATGCGTTTGGGGAGAACGAGCCAGATGAATAACGCGCTGCGTTGCGAAGTTTGAGAAGTTCCTCAACGCAGCACGACGGATGTGGCTACGGATTCGTGCCGATCTCAAGCGAAAAGAATCATGGACGGTGGCGCTCGCGTGGTTCCAACGGTGGAACCTGCGTCAGCGGTAGGCGCACAAAGGCAAAGGATCCCCCCCCCCGTATAGCCTCGTCAGACTGTTGGGACAAGTGCTGTTGGCGAGCACCCACAAAGGGGGTGGGGTGGTCGGAACCACGTCCGGGCGCCTTCATCTCCCCCCGGGCAGCGATAACTTGTACACATCGCACCAGGTGCTCGTTTGAGGCCGAGTCAACCTAACGGAAGGGCCGGGACCGGTTCAGATAAACGTCGAACCGATGTTGTCCGTGAGCGGGAATCGAACTCGGGTCGCCGGGTTCGTGGCGTGGGGCGCGCGAACCGCTGCGCGGCGCGGCACCGCCCACGCTCGCACGCGCGTCGGCGTGCCTCTCCGTCTCTTGCGCGAACCCGCGCGCACGTGACACCCGAGGTCGCGCTACCTGCTTGTCCGTCACCCCGGGACGAGCGACGCCTTTCTTGTAGTCGTCGAGAGTCTCCACGGCTCGCAGGACCTCCCTCTGGGCCGGGGTCGGCGGTTCGCGACGGAGCGGCGGGCAACGACAGGTGGGGGCGGAGATGGGGGGAGAGCATTCCAAGCAAAACAAGGAACGGGAGAGGGGGAGGGGGGGGAAACGTTGAACGTAAAGTTAGGTAAAATCAACGAGACAAAATGGAATTTTCTTTTTTTAAACATCACCGCAACATTTGGTTCACCTCACGGAGACAGATGGACCGAGGGGCCCCACCCATGCGCATATCCGAGGGGGAGGCAGGGGGGGTGTAAGTCGGTGGAGGGGGGGGGGGCAGGAGGGGTGTTGAATCGGTTCCTGTCGCCGCACAACAAACCCCAATTAGCGCGAACGAGATGACTCTTACGCCACCGGATCAAAGCGAGAGGCCTGGGCCCTCCTACGGGCCACTGCGAAGCCGAATTAATTAGTTTCTTGAGCGTAATGATGAGAACGGAGCCGAGTGCAAAGGAACTCCCGCTGTCTCTCCCCGCGAAATAGCGGTGACGGGGGGAAAAAAAAATACCCGCCCTCGCTCTGCACCCTCATTATCCACCTGTTAGGAGACCAGCCCCCCCCCCACCTGCCCTCCTTGCCCTCAACCCCCCCCCCCGCCTCAAAACCTTCTCTTAATGCCTTCCCACGTTTAGTTATTTATTTACATCGTATTTCTCCTCCTTCGCACATTCTTGTGGGGCCAATTTTGTCTTTGAGCACAGGGAAGGGAAGAAAAAAAAACATTCGCAAATTCAAAAATCGGCTTCTTATTAGCCGGCGCCTAAACACCTTTTAAGCAAACGTCAGAAACCGCGAGACATTTCCACACCCTCTGAACTCGGAGGCCAACTGTCATAATAGCCCCATGCAGCGGTGTCTTTTTTAGAATGTGAATAACACCGCGAGAGGCAACGAGCGAGGCGTTGCCCGCGTGCCGCAGTGAGCGCGACCGGTTTAACGCGTAACATGTACGTACGTACGGACGTCCGCGAACTTTCGTTGGAAGCGCAATTACGATAAAAGCAAGCGGCGCGAAGACGATACGGGAATTTTTGAGGGAATGGCAACGAACAGGATCTTACGCGCAATCCACCCCGCACTCAAGTGATTTGGAAGTTATTAAAACATATAATGGGCCCGGAGGTTCTTATAAATTAAATACGCCAGTTCAAACAAATTAGCCCTTTAAACTTTAAATTAACGTCAACCAAGAAAGGCTTTTTTTTCTCTCTCAACTGCAAGCACGTGGGATCGTTTTTCATGTTTCCCAGCAGAAATTTGAAATTACCAGGCAAATGCGAGCACTTAAAATGTTCCCCTTGGCTACGAGACTGTTTTTAAAAACTGATGTGCCATGCTGTTAAAGCGATTTACATATTCAATATTTTTTTCTCATTTGTAACTGAAGTCAAATTCTTTTATTCAAATTAATCTTTCACTCTAATCACTTTGCTTGTTAAAAGTTGCTTCCAGTTTAATATGTTTTTTTTATAATAATCGTAAAAAAAAACTTCTGCGGGAGGATTCGTAATAAAGAGGTCGTGTTCTTTGTTATAATTACAAAATACTTCCATTAAACAAGTGACTTTAATAAGCGCAGCTCACTAACATCATTTCTGTGGGTACTGGCAATTACAGTAATGACAGTATAATGTAACGTGTAGTCAATTTCTGATTATATATCCAGGACTACTCGTGTACACGCGGGGCGCCGCGGTCGTACACATGCGCGTATGTGTACACGGACCGCGCATTTATACGTGCGGCGCCCCAGGTTCGTGTGCACGCACACACGCACACACGCACACACGCGTGCGCGGCGCTCAACGTTAAACAACGTTCCTGCAATTATGAGCAATCTTCGCGTCCGGCGGGCGCAGGCGCACGCACGTCAAGCCGGTCCACAGGCTCCGCCGCGCTCCTTCTGCGAGCGCATTTACACGACGCCTCGCTGTCGGAGACAGTCATTTTGCTCTTCTTGGCTCTTTCGGTAAAGTCACGTAGAAGGGAAATAATAAAATAATAAAAATTAAACATTATAAAATAGTAAAGTCACGTAGAAGGGAAATAATAAAATAATAAAAACATAATAAAATAATAAAATAACTCGGGTTATGCTTTACTTTTTTATTTTATTATTTCCCTTCTACGTGACTTTACCGAAAGAACCAAGAAGATGAATCCCTGCAGTCACGAAAGCTTTAAATCGAAATTTAAGTCATTTTGCTGTTGGCCAATGTTTGAAATGTCTCTGCCGTATATTGACGGGTATACTGGACGTGGCGTGTGGAGGGCCTTCATCCAGGAGTGGGCTGACAAAAGGCCCTGTAAATCATGACCATCATCACCGCTTGCTACGGGTGGTGAATCATTTTGAGAAAACGTCTTCCCTTGAATGGCGAAAGCGCATCACATCGTTCAACTCGCCCTGTGACAGGGGTTTCGTTAATTTCTCAACGCCATCTCAGTGTGGCTGTTCCAGTAGAAACAAAGGCGTGAAAGTAAATGGAAGAACGTTCACCATCTCAGATTTTCTGACAACAAAGATATGAGCTGTCACTCATTAAGTGCATCATCATCGTTAGATATTCATTGTAGCCGTGCGGTGGTGGCTATGCCTGTGGCCTGTAATCCAGGGTTGGTAGATCACCGCACAAATGTTGTGAAAACTCCTGTGAGCGTGGATTTTGCCATACCCTGGCTCGCCAGGAGAAGGCGGTACAGCAAGTGTGAACTAATCTCCATCCGTCACCAAAAGTACGGGGATAGAGTGTTCTCCCTCGCACGTGTAGGGTTTCCTCCGGGTGCTCCAGTTTCCTCCCACATATCAAATAATCATCATGAATTGGCTGAAAATGTCTTGAAATAAAAACCCTATGTTGTAGGACCCTTCGGAAAAGGAGTCGTTGGATAAAGCACAACTTACCTGCGTGAATAATTATGATATTTTTTGTTAAACATCAACAGATATCATTGTTGTTATGCAAACATGGTACACGCATGCGGAGTGTATACAGGTGCGTGGCAGTAGTCTCAAAAGGGGACACACTTTTAACCGACACGCTGTTGCTCAATTAGATTGTGCAGTATTGATAGTTTTCTTATGTTAATTGCAGTTACAAAATCTTAATAACTTTAGAGAATATTTCAACTCTACTGGGAAAGAGTTCGAATGGCTAGCCACCCGTTGCAGCAATTCAATTCTTGAAATCGAATGAAATCACGTCAGTCAGCAAGACATCTGCAATTTATAGGTGAGTAACACGTGACATTAAAGTGTACATAATGCATTCTCACACGAAGACTTTGATCACTCTGACCATAAACCAATTCACGGACAATTTTTAATTTCGGATAAATATGGCACGTTACACATAAAGACAGAAGCCAACGTAAGTTATAATTTAAACGTACCATCCAGCCTTGATAAGAAAAATCAACATCATACGGCAAAACCACCAAACGGTAATCAACACGAGGAGGAAATCGAGACAACATGTCACAGAGATATTAATCTATTTCAGCACATAATATCACGCAGATTAACGCGAAAGTACGCATCTTATTCTCAACCCAAGTCACATCAAAGCTTAGCATCAGACTTTACAATTCAGGGTTTTTTTTCTCAAACGTATCGTCCTTTTTGCCACGAGTGAATTTCGGTGATAAACAGCTGAATGATTGCGGCCTATTCTGCAAGCGTTGCATTGTGTCAGTGAGCGTTGAGTGTCGCTGTGATGCAACGTCGCATTTATTTATGTCCCTTACAAAATATAAAGGCGAGCAAACTCTTGTTTAAAACGGCAATGGCTATCGACTCGCATTACCCCAACACAAAGGACATTGAATCTTTAAGTAGCGTCGGTTTACCTCCCTCACCAGTTGCCGCTTTTGTTTTAAAAGTCGCATCAAGTCAAAAAAAGAGACATCGCGGTACCGTACATCATTGTGCATCCGGATAAAAATAAATGTGGATATTCAGCTACAAACAGCTGCGCTCTATTTTTACTGCATTTTTTTCACAATACATAATCCGCAAAAGTGCACACATCTCCTTCGTAAAGAGGAAAACTGAAGACAAGCCACAGTGGTGCGACTGTGGCCAAGTAAACCCAAACCATCGACCGTAGAAGCGAGCCCCCGGAGTCTGCTGCTCTCCTTCAACAGAGGAGCAAAACTACCGAAGCTCTGTTGTGGGGCCTGCAGACATCGACATTCGCGTTTAGCTCCTGAACATATCCCAATGGAATAGACCCCACTTCTGGATAAAGGCCTCACCCCCCCCCCACCCCGCCCCTGTGTCGTGTCAGCCATGGTGGTTTACAGAGGTGGGACAAAGTCATTGTTATGCAAGTCCAAGTCGAGTCTGAAGTCATCAAATTCATGACTCGAGTCTGACTCGAGTCCAAGTCACATGACTCGAGTCCACACCTCAGAGGTGGGACAAAGTCATTGTTATGCAAGTCCAAGTCGAGTCTGAAGTCATCAAATTCATGACTCGAGTCTGACTCGAGTCCAAGTCACATGACTCGAGTCCACACCTCAGAGGTGGGACAAAGTCATTGTTATGCAAGTCCAAGTCGAGTCTGAAGTCATCAAATTCATGACTCGAGTCTGACTCGAGTCCAAGTCACATGACTCGAGTCCACACCTCAGAGGTGGGACAAAGTCATTGTTATGCAAGTCCAAGTCGAGTCTGAAGTCATCAAATTCATGACTCGAGTCTGACTCGAGTCCAAGTCACATGACTCGAGTCCACACCTCTGGTGGTTTATTTGACTATACTTCACCCCGCTGGTCAGAAAAGAGTGCTAAAGTGGGGATGGCGGAGGGAGGAGGAGAAGGGGGGGGGGGCAGGACCTGCTCATAAATTTGCTCCCCACTGATGTGTCAACCGTCGCCGGGAATCGAACCCGGGTCGCCAGGTGCATGGCGCAGCACCTGAATGCCTGCACACGCTGTTGCCCCTAAACCACAACTGCACTTTAACTCATCAAAAAGGGGAAATTGTT